CTTGCCACGGTCTCCAACCCTCCTCCTTTCTCATCCGGGCTTGGGACCGGCCATGGCGGAGTTAAGCTAATAACATTTATGATTAAATAGATTCATGTTGATACAAAAAGAACCTTTAATCATAATATTTAGTCCTTAATGACGGACAATAAATTTGTGATTCCAAAAGCTGACACTTATTGTCAAAGTTCTCAGCGCAACTGTGTATTTGAAAATATTGAGCAAAATGAATATCTAATTTCAACAGGTCTTTCAAGAATCAAGATTTTGGCCTTTTTTAAGGTCGAAATAGTTTACATAAAAATGCAAATTTTTGAACGTTCATTATGACAACATTTCTGATCTTGAGTACGTTGTTGAAATTGTAGATTATTCTCCTATTCAGGACTGAGGACACCAAGCTACACTGATACTAGCAGTGTGATTGCCTCGCGCTTTGCCACAGTCGCAGTAACTTCAACAGGGCATAATTTCCATATCTGTGATCGAAACAATGAGACAATAAAGCTGCTAACATCCATGTTGCTAGGTACCCTACACCAGGAATCGACAAGCAACCTGCAATTGTAATTGAACTATTTGCAGTAAACACTTTGCATTCGAAACATGGTTGTTGCTTGGAAAGCCTCGTCAAGCTTTTCTTTCAAAAGGGTTTGAGTGCTGAAAACTGTTATATTTTCTGCAATTTTTTATCATCATTTACACATCGACTATGTCTACTTCATGTAGGGACCAGAGACCAAGAAAGCATACTGTATCGAAATGACCGTAATTAAATTCAGACGTACTGCATAGACATAAATCCATAGAACAGTACAATAAGAGAGTTTTCACTCTCAACAGGCTGTGGTCTAGGATCTTGCGGCTATGTTCGATACAAGGCATCGCGACAATCCTTCGGGTATTGGAAACGTGAAACATTTTGCGATTTCTTTCAAGACTACGTTTCATGGGTGTGAATAATTCTAGAGCAATGGAATTAGAGAGACAGCGGCAACAACCTCAGTACAAACTAATAAAAGTGACTGAAGCATCTTTCTACGGCAGTTCTGGAATCTCTTGGAAATGGACCCTGAAATTCAATGCACGTTGAAACAACAAAGAGGAATGCATTTGCTGCAATTTGCGATCGATCGAAACGTGGAATTCGTAAATGAAGAAATATTTAAAGAAAATCGTTTAAAAATAATCTGTGCTACAACTAACGGTTAGAAGATACGCTTCAGAATTACAGGAGTAAGAAAATGACGCGGGAAAAGTGAACATGGAGATGGGATGAGTAAAGAAAATGGAATCAGAAAAAAATTATGTGGTAGGCGAAGTGGAAGAAAACACGAAGACGAAGAAGAAGAGGAGGGAGAAGGAAAAGAGGAAAACGAAAAACACAAGGCGGGAGGAAAAAGCAGGATGAGAGAAGAGGCAAAAACGAAGCACAATGAAGCGTAAGCTCTATGTCTGATGACCTGCTTGCCTGACGTCAATGATTTTGCTGATGCCCTTGCAAATAATGCGTTTGAGACCTGCAGAATCCCTGTGCACTGTTGCGATTGTCACGCGCAGATTAACGGACTGGCGGATGTCATGTCTTTTGCTGATCGTAGTGCTGCTCACAGCGACGGTGAAAGAGGCATCAACATTATGGTCATGTATGATGAAATCAAAGCAATATCGAACCTCAGCCTTTAAACGTAAGCTACAAAGAATTATACTGAAGTAGAAGGAAACATATGCTGAACAGACATGTCAAGAACGGCATAACCATAAATGATCATTATTTAATTTCTATGATAAAATTAATCCTCCCCTGCAAAGATGCGCATTATAAGTTTAAACAGCAGTATAGAATGACAGTTATCAAGATGTTTTACGGTACGCTATACCAGGATTTGATATTCCCTTTGTTCTGCTCTAAATGGCGTCCTTGTGATTATGGTATGACAGAGCTCGTAGAACCTAATGAAACCCAACACTGTGATGGAAAAGTAGATATTTTGATGAAGAATAGAAACTTCTGCAACGGAATTTTTATTTTTTGCCTCTGAAAATATTTGTCATGGTCCAACTCTGTTTGGTTCATGAAATAAGGTAAATAACGATTAATTATTTCCATTAATTAAAGAATTTAGAAATGTTCCGTAACTTATTCTTTTTCGTGAACTGGAAATCGCGAACAGTTGGCGCAGAATAATAAGTTAGTTAAGAACTTACTTGTGTAACGAACAACCGCCCATTGTGATCGCTAAGACATCGGTCCGGTTTGCACGTTTATGCAGAGTGTCATTTGTGTCAGCCGATGATGTGATGCTGATTGCCACTACCTTCACTCAATAACGAGGGGCGCTTTTTCTCTTTACGTTACAGTAATATATTCAGCAATGTTCAAAGCAGTACATGCATGTGTACAGTTATGCACATTCGTCTATTTCTAAGAAACATTGAAGCGAGTAACCTTCGCAAGACCGATGCTCCAGATTCGATGCTCAATTTGCTGAGTTGGTGGCCAAACAGAAAAATTGAGACCATGAAGGCAGCGTTGCGTAAGTTTCAAGCCTTCCTAACCTCTACCATAACTGAAAACTGATACAGAGGTACTATTTCGCATATTTTCAGATCCAAGCTCAACATTTGTCTCCGTCCTTAAAATAAAAAAATGATATAATACACATGGTCATGCTAATTTCCCTCGAATCTATTATCTATTATTCGAAATGAAATTTTTCGCTTTACTCATTAAAATACCGAAATGTAAATGAACCGATGCATTATCTATGTCTTCTTCTTCTTCAACAAAAATGCTCCTTCAATCGTTTTCGGCACAAGAAACAAACAGATGATAGCACGTGTGTTTAAACACGCTGAAAGACTATCTCATGCATGCAAGACTCATGACCAAAGGCAATTCAGGTTAAAAGTGATCATGATTTCATAAATCATCTAAAATCCAATCTCTAAACGATCGTTCTCGTTAAAAACAGCGGTTTCAGCACTGGATCAGGTAAGAGAGGGCTTGATTCTTCATCTGTCATGTTGCGTTTGTTCGGAAATGGTTAAACTCTGGAAGGGACTGAGCTGAATCTGAAATCTCTCTTCCCGTCTAACTTTCAATCTAAGCTTAACTTTTCTCTGGTGTAATAAAATCATGAAGGACACTGTGTGTGATTAAAGGCCAAAATGAATTCAGGAACAACACCCAATTTGACCAGGACAAGAAATTGAAGAGGTACTGAGAAACAAATAATTAGCAAAATCTGAGTAGTCGTTGTCCTCCAAAATAAAATGTTTGTAAGAAAGCGACAAAACTTACTACGTAGATTTCTGGACTTAAACGGATCGTCGAGAATGGCACCGACAAATCAGAATGTACGGAAATCTGAAAACCAGATTCACTTAATGCATGAATAGAACAGTCACACAAGAGCACGAGCACATACATTGAGAAAGGATTGAGAAAATGCCTCATATTTTAGGAGAAACTCACATGTTCTGCAGGGAAACTTTAACCTGACTCAGACGAGTGGTGGATCAATTCATGACTGATCAGCATGCCTATCCTAACGACAGAGTATATAAACAAACTGAAGCAAAACACTTTCTGTACTGTCATTAGGACACTAATCGCACACGGACCCTGAGGACTGCGAGGCTAGAATGAGAAACAAATTTACAGACCGGAAGCCAGGAGTGAATATCTCATGTGAAATAATTAATGGCAAAGCCTGTTGTACCTCACAGGTAAGATAACGAGCTATGTCGGATACGAGCTAAAGAACGTACTGAGGGACCTCTGGAAGAAATTTTGAATGAAAGGGATTAATATAGTAAATCGTCATTAAAGAGTACTTGTAAACAGGAGTAAAATAAGGTAGATGCAAACGGGAGAGGGAATATTTGCTAACAGAGGTAGAAAACAAGAGCTTAAATTGAAATTTTGTTTGACCAAATTCCTGCAAAGACTTCAGAAGACTTTTCGACTTCGTTTCTTAGATGGAGGCCGATGTCGGTTGAGATGCTTCGATTGCGCGAACAAGAAACGCAGCGAAAGATCCGGTTGCCGACCATGGCTGGCGGGCCATATTCATGAAGCAGAGCCAAACGAACGACGCTTCGGGTGCCTGACGATCGCAACGTGTCCAGCGCTGAGAGCATCAAGTGCTTGCAGTCGTCTCTTGAAACAAAGGACCCCTTGCAAATCGAACTCAATGCACTTTTTACCACTCGAAATTGGGTGCCAAGTTGGCACTCGAACGCCAGAGAACGAAACGCCTTGTCGAGTGTCTGGACGGCTTTGTGAAAGGCGATTTGCTGCGCACAAGACCAAGAGGCATGACGACAAGAGTGTCCACCGTTTTCGGTGAACAGGCCAGCAAATTGACTTACTTTGCGCTCGCCGGAAGGTCGTTAGCCACTTGACGTTGAAGAGCGGCACTTGCGCCCGTTCCACCGTCACGACATTTACCGTATGCCATGTTGACCGATCGAAATGACCTCATGCTCCTCTGAGGCAGAACGTACTCGTTCCTCTCCAAACATGAAAGGCAAGTATCAATCGTGAATGAGCAACTGTGACCAGTAAGCACTCTGAGTGAGGAATCAGCCTCATTAAAACCCTTAAAACCGCTAAAGCCTCATAATAGTCATAATCGTATCAGCATGAACGGAGGAATTCACACGTCCTCCATCGTATAAACCACATAAGTTCTTTCAGAGAGGTTCTTTACGAACAACAGTACGTGCAAATTAGGAACAAATATTAGCAGAATTGGCAGACAGGAATTATGATAGATAAAATTTAAAGTATTTTAATCTGGTATCCATATTTTTAATGTGATACCTTCAGCGGAGGTATCGAAGAGTTCCCCAGAGCAGCGGGGTTGCATCTTGTCATCCAGTCACTTACAGACCATGACAATCCTTGTTGGTTGAATATACTTTTGTTAAAGCCAAATTTGAGACGCGTTCCTGAGTCCTATGCACTGCAAGCACTTTAATATCAAGGAGCCGTGGCCTGCAGAAAAGGTCTTCCCAGGAAATAGAAGCAATGGGTCGATGCGAAAGTGCTGTCAGTGTAAAGGGAGAAATGGATTTTTCTATTTTTCTTTCTTTACACTGTGCATTTTCGCCGTTTCAATCCGGCGTCAATATATTTAATGTAAATTTAACATACTTGGTTAATTAAAAAGAATTTTGAAAGCTTTACTATAGTTTAAAACAGATTTAAACCATATTCGTCTGTCAGCATAAAGGTCGATAAAAAGTTTAACGAACTTCACAACGGACTAAAGTCCATTTTAAAAAAGGAATCATGCCATTTTACGCCATACCAGCACAGCTTCGAACATAGATCAGGGAGTACGTTTCTTATTACTTGCTAATTCAGTTGAGCAAGGTGCTCCCCACTGTGCTTTGGCGCAACTGGCCAATAGACAGGCAGCACCAAGGCACTGACGTGCAAACAACAGGAATAGCATGTTGCTCTGACGAGGTCATGCCTGGGCATTGGGAGACATACTGCCATGTTCTCTGACCAGTTGATTTACAGCTGATATTCGCAATCAGTGCATACGTATTTAAAAACTTGAATTACAGATCCTCATCACCAACCTTTCTCGATCGATTGCTAGAATCAAACGACCCCAGGAGTTTTCCACAAGCTTCGACTGCCTGTGATTCTTACCCAACTTGATCCAATGAATTTCAACCCATTCAGCTCGGCCTTGGCTTCCTCTTTGGAGTCTATTTGTCGAATTTGAGATCATGACATAGCTGAGTAACCGCATTTTAAGAAGTACTCATTTTTCCTGTTCATATTTGTTTCAATTAAGGGCAATGAAGAAACGCAAGGTTGCTGCGAGTAACTTTGTTGATGGTGCCTCACCTTTTTAGTCGTCTTTCTCGATCTGGAACATGCTTCAGGCTTCACACTAGCAGTTCGATCCCTGTACATCATAGATATTTTTTATCGTTTCTCGATCCCAGTACACTTTTTGAATTAGAAATAATATTTAATAATTCATACAGTGATTAGCTTCATGGACAAATTTTGACAAGTTTGTAAGAATTTTAGCATTAGTAATTACATTAATTAAGCTCCTTTTCTTGATTCACGGATCAAGACCGCAGATTAATAGATCTAGAAGGAACTTGGTGCTATTCGCCTTGGAGGAATTTTGCTCCATTCAACATACTCTGCCGTACGAATATATTTTGATGTTTATGCTGAGGCATATAAGGAGTACCAGTTGAAACACCGTTGGTAACGAGTGAGAGGTTGCACTAGCGGAAAAATGATGCGATATGTATTTGGCACTAGTGGTGCTTAAACACCGAGGAAACTTAGCCTCCCTAAATGCCACGCCCCCCACTCTTCCCGAGGTATCTAGCAGAAGGGGTGGTGTAGTGCGCCCCTAAATCTGG